AAATTAAATTAGAACAACGCGAAATGACGGATATTATTAAAGGAAAAAAAAAACAAAAGTCCCCGTGAGTTTGCAATTTCCAGGGGTGTGAAAAACATGAAAGACCCAACTATGAACAAGACGTCAACAAAAAGAAAACGGACAAAAGAAGAAACAAAGAAACATGTCAGATTTTTATTGTAGTGTAACGGTTATATAAACTATGGCGAACTTTGACACTGAGTGTCCGCCATTGCCAGCATCTCACCGCAAAAGCTCAATTCAGAGAATCAAGGAATACCTCGATGGTTGCATTTTATTTATGACTAGTGAATCCATGGCTGTCATTATCAGAATTTTTCCACATGTGGGGTTTTATGTATATATTTCTAATTAATGTTGTACTTTGCTTTTTTATGGATTCGGACTTTTTAACTGATGTATTAGATAGATAGATAGATAGATAGATAGATAGATAGATAGATAGATAGATAGATAGATAGAATGATTGAATAATAAACAGACTGAAATAGATAGATAGATAGATAGATAGATAGATAGATAGATAGATAGATAAAATATGAACAGACTGAAATAGATAGATAGATAGATAGATAGATAGATAGATAGATAGATAGATAGATATGAACAGACTGAAATAGATAGATAGATAGATAGATAGATAGATAGATAGATAGATAGATAGATAGATAGATGTGAAAAGACTGAGATCGATAGATACATACATATATACAGATATAGATGTGAATACACATAGATAGATAGATAGATAGATAGATAGATAGATAGATAGATAGATAGATAGATGTGAAAAGACTGAGATCGATAGATACATACATATATACAGATATAGATGTGAATACACATAGATAGATAGATAGATAGATAGATAGATAGATAGATAGATAGATAGATAGATAGATAGATGTAAACAGAGTGAGATAGATGTACTTGGAAACGTTTCTAAATAATCACAACGAACCTTTGTTATATTTGATACTTCAAGTTTGATTTAGGATTTAAAAAAGTTATAACCAAAATCTCGTAATGTTTTTATTTAATCATTGAAATCCTTTACAAAATCAGTTTACATGTAATTAATGCTCGTATAGTCAGACATTAAAATTGTTTGCTCTCCGTTCATGCTGACTAAAATAGAATAATGATTTTCACCTATTAATGTTCAATAGAAACAATTCCTTTAAAGAAAGGAATCGTCCTTATCATTAATTCCATGACTGGAACTACCAATCATTATTAACTCACTGAAAACTTACCTTTTAATATTTCCCATCAACGCCACTCTCTTCTTGTCGTAGACTTTTCACCTGAGTAATTTGCGATAAAAAAAGAAGCAAACATTAATTTGAAAGTAAAACTCTCGTCATATTTTTTTAAAGTCAATAATAATTACAATGCTTTTTTGAAAAAATAAATAAAAGATACTATAATTTTTACTAATAATACTGAAAAAAAATCAAAACCTGTTGCTCGGAGAGGTCAGATAAGAGTTAGGGGTAGTTTTAAAATGTTAGATTTGATTTGTCATCCATTATGTTCACTGTAGTTCAAAGTGTAAGAACAGCTGGTACGATTAACCAGCCTTTATATTTATACTCACTGCTGGACACTGAGAAATCGAATGAGTGATTGACTGATTTGTGACAAAAAATAAAAAATAAAATACTAATAAAAATTAAAAATTAAATCGTTAACAAAGTTTCATCGAAAAATAACAGTCAGTCTTATTAAAAGTTGAAGGAACGTTGTCATAGCTCAAAAATTTGAATTTCCGGTCATAGTTCAAATATAACCAGTTGATTTATGATTAATGTAGAAACAATCCGACATTAATTCACAATGATTGCTTCCATGTTAGGTTTTGAGATAAATTCGTTGAATAAAACAATGGAAATATGGCCGAATAGGGCAGATCAGTTTTGAAACCGTGGTATTGCACTCATTTTGAAAGTTAAGATTTCACATGAAAAATAATGACACAAAATACTTTTTTTCAAAATCTTTACAGTCTTTTTTTTTTTTTTTTTTTTTGAGGAAACGAGTTTAAAGATTAAGTTTAGGTTTCAAATCGTAGTGTTGGCATTTCTTTCCGGCCTTATAACACAACCTTTTAAAAGATGATTTACTGAAGTTTTACAAACTATATGGACAGGACACGAAGCAAACGCAAATTATTACTAAATTATTGAGTCATCAAATAAACTCTTCATTTGCTTCAAAGGGAAATTATACTGAACGATTTACTTATATTATGATGTAATATGTTATAAAGTGCTGTAGTTTGAGTGTGATTTTCTATAAACATTGAAAATTTAAAACAAAAATAATTTGTACCCAGCAGTATTATAGTGTTATATACACTTTTATCTAATTTTTGTTTTATTAATTATCATCTAACAAATCTTATTCATTGAGTAGCCTTTTTTGTAATCTTTTTACACAGTTTTTACTTACCGAATATAGTAAAAAGTTTCCTATTTTGCTTGTGGTGATTCCTAATTAGAATTCTGGTTTAAATATATTTTCCATTCAATTTATCTAATACAAAAGATATTAATTTTATTTGGATTTGTTCTTAAAATAGTAAAATTCTGAAGTCCGTTTGTAAGCAAAAACCTTCGAAAATTAGGTAATTCTGTACATTTTTTCAGACGATCTTTAAAACTAAATGCTCAAAAGATGATGATAGCTCTGCCTCTAATATTTACTATGTATACTTATCACATCAATCCCCAGTTTTCATCCTGAGTGCAATCTTGATTTTTTATAAAGTAACAAATCAACCTTCCCTAATGATGAATCGTTACTTGCTTAGTTTTGCGGGTATTGAATGTTACAAGGCAGTTTTCTTCTCATTGATCTGTTAGAGCTTGGTCAGAAAAAAGATCAGTTCCAGGCTCTGATCATCTAGAATTTTGAAATATCTGCATAAATATTTATTAATTTTATTGATTTGAAAAAAGATAACAAACAACACGACAGTTATCGTACAAAACTTGATTCATTAAATTCGAATTTAAGATTTCGTTTTGGTTTCATTGTAAACCGGCATATCAACTCCTTATGGGTCATTTAATGCTGAAATATAATTTTCTTGGGACCATTAGTAAATTATATAGCTGGTAAAGCAAAACTATATTGCTGGTTATTTTTTTTCAAAAATGTATGGCTGGCAATTTTTCTTTTCCTTACAAAATTCATTGTTGGTAAGAGATTTTTGGTAATCTCTTTTTTTTCTTTTTTTTTTTTTTTTTTGAAATATTCAAATTTTGAAAGCAAAACTGCGGAAATTGGTCATTTCTCTACAGTTTTTTCAGACGATTTAAATGCTCAAAAATTGGTAAAAGCTATGAATCTAATGTTTGGTGTCAGTACTTAACACATCAAAGCCCACCTTTCACAGTGAATGTTTTGATGCTCTAATCATTGATCTGATTGTTTTTGGGGTTTTTTTATGAATTGATTCGTTATCTACGACACACCCTTGCAGGCTACTTTAAACAAAATCAACTTAGTAAAAAGGGGTGACTTTTGTCAAACGTTATTCAGAAACTTCGAAATCCAAATCAAATCACTAGTCTACAGTATTCAATCCTTATGATTTCATTATTGCATCTAATTGTTGCTTATTTTATGAAAAAAAAAAGTACTTATGTTTTTTGTTTAGGTTTTCACTAATTCCGTAGCTGTGACCCTAACATTTGATACCTTGGCACAACAGCAAATAAGAGTTTGCTTTTTTGCGTCCTGGGTATGACGATAAACTGCATCCACATTCTGAGTATGACAATAAACTACATCCGCGTCCTGGGTATGACAAATAAACTACACCCACGTCCAGGGTAAGACAATAAACTACGTCCAACAGCAAGGCCTCTGATAATACGTTTTTGAAAGAATAATGTTGCCAGCTGTGCGTTTTTAAAAAATAATATTACCAGCTATACGTTTTGTTTTGTTTTTTAAATAATATTACCAGCTATACGTTTTGAGGAAAAAAATATTAACAGAAATAGATTTTTGACAAAACGAAAATATTATCAGGAAAAAAAAAAGTTGTCGGTATTATTTAACCCATTGAGCTGTTGATATGCCGTAAAACAAAACAAACCAAACCTAAAAGGTTTTTCCACGCTCTTCAAAACTCCAATCTCCCGACCTTGACAGATGTTGCCGGATGTCGTTTATCGTCATGCCCAGGACAATGAAGAATTGCTACATCATTATTTAAAACTTCGCCAAAGACAGTTCTGTGAAGTGTTTGCAATTCATGCAAACAGGATGGAGGAAAAATACTCGAAAGAAATAGTTTTCTCTTCGAAGACTCAAGTGTTTCAAAGCAACATGATTGATTGATTCGTTTTTTACGGCTTATCAACCTTCTACGGGTTATTTAAAGCCAGAATATAATTTTAGATTCTAAGAATATTTTGTTTTGTTTTTTAGAAAATAATGACAATGTTAGTGATACAAGACTTACTAATTAACCCATAGATTGGGGAAGAAGATGTCTATTCATACCTAATCAGAAATTAATAAACAAGAAATTAGAATATAGACACAAAGTTGGGGGTCAATTCTATATCACAAACAATATATAAACTGGTCCCTCACTTTGTGACCAGGATAGTTTCTATACATTTCTATTCCAGAGAATGTAAATAAATCTGAAAGACATACCTGTGTAGTTAATCAGTATTTGATTGATTGATTCGTTTTTTTACGGTTTACCAACCCTTTGCAGGTAATTTAAAGCCAGAAAATATTTTTAGTTTATAAGAATTAATTTTGGCAGGGATAATAATATTTTAGTGATACAAGTTTTACTAATTAATCCATAGCTGGGGGGGTTGAGAAGAGTTGGATTTACCAAGAGTATTTACACGTATCTGAAAATAACAAACCCTGGGGGAATTTGACCTCAGTCCTCCGATCAACAATTCCGAGCCATTATCCATTACACCATCCGCACATCCAAGCTTACAGCACTTGGTATTCCTAAGCGGTCACCCATCTATGTACTGACCAGACTCGACGTTGCTTAACTTCGGCGATCTTGCGAGAACCGACGTTCCAACGTGATGTGGCCGTATGCACTCACAGATATTCAGGCATCTCCCCCGCAGCTAAAGGGTTAAATAGCAAATCACACTAGAAGAAGGAACATTCTGAATCCAAAGAATGAACTTGCTTTAGACACACCACTGATGCTATAGCTACAGTACACGTGGGGCTCTTACGACCCTAATGAGTGATGCGATGAAACGAATTCGGAAAACGAACTTTCAATTAGGAGAGGCATTGTTTGTTTTATACCTGACGCAAGTTAAATTATTTGCTTTAATCCTTATTTCCAACACTAGATGGCGCTAATTTTAACCTCATTTTGAGCAAAAGCATTCCTGCCATCAGTCTTATAACTTTGAGTAACTTGCTGTAACCATGGAAAGCGTTGCTTCTTTCAACCTGGTAAATAACTTTATAAATTTGATACACGTCTACAGAGTTCATGTTACAATGTAGGTTGGATGCTAGTGTAAGTCAGATTTAAGAGGAGCAATAAATAGTCTACATTCTACATTTCAAGCAGCTTCTGTCAGAAGGCTTTTTTGAAATACAAGTAAACAGAGTTATTTGGGACTGGTTGGTACATTGAAAGTAGGGCTACTGTACCAACCTGCTCCACTGAGGATACCAGCATAACCCAGTAAAAAATATAATAGGAATCGTGCAGGAAAACACGTGGCAGTTCTTTCTAGTTTTTTTTAAAGAGGCTGATTTGATCGTTGTATTCAAATAAAAGTCATACATTTATTGACATTGATTAACAAATTTTATTGATTTAAGCATAGCATCACAATTCACTGATTATTGGCTAAATGTTGCTTTCTAAAACAAAAGGTTTTATGTTTTCAAAAAATCATAGCTTTAATCTTTGTTTTCACTACTTGGTAGGAAAATTATACTCCCAAAACGAGGCTAACTATCTAATTTTAGCCTCGTTTTCAGAATATAATTTTTCCATCTTTTTTTTTAATTTTGATTTTACATGAAAAACGTTGTTACCATGGTAAATAACTTTTTCCGTTTGACACGTGTGTGTCTACTTAATAATCTTTAATAATATAATGTGTGTCTGGTGGTAGAACAATTAATGTTTATAAGAAATGCAATAAAGAATATATATACTAGATTTCATAATAAAGAAAATATATATTATATTCCATAAATAAAGTGTATATATAATAGATTCCATAAAGTGTATATATACTAGTTTTGATAATAAAGAGTACCTTTACATGGACAATATTCTGATACAAAAATGTTTTAGGAAGTCAGGCCTCTGTTTTAAAAAAATCTGATGCTTTTTTATTTTTTATTTTATGATGCATTTTCTCATTTCAACAAAAATAAAATCGCCACTTTTAGTATTGACCCAGATAAACCATTTTATTGATTTATATATAAGAATAAAAATTCCCTGATTTTAGACAACAACTTGCATTCTAATTTGAGTCACAATGTTCAGAGTTTTCCAATAATCATGGCGTCAATATTATTTTGATGATTAATGCGTATAGAACATCAAATGAAAGCCTACCTGTTCTCATTCATGGCGATTATAATACGAGAGGCACGGAATCCATATTAAGATTCTGGTAGAGTCTTTTCAGTAATGATCTGGAGCAAAGTCTTTTCCATTGATGGCGAGTCTGAATATTCCTTTGTAGTTTCCATAGGATTTTTGGTCACCTTTTTTCAAGGTCATTATAATTCTAACTTTTTTGCATTCTAACATTAAACAAACTGTTTGGAGTTTTCCAATAATAATAGCGTCCATATTATTTCGATCATTGCTAATTACAAAACAGCAAATGGAAGCGTATCTCTTCCCAGTCATGTTAATAGAATTTACAGTAACAAAGTAGCTTTGCAGATCACAAAATTAGCGCTCAATTTCATTTGCAACCTACTGATACACCAATCGACACTTAACATAATACTCAACAACTTTTATGAAATTTACAGATGATCTTAATACTATATTTGAAGAAATTATTACCCAAAGAAAACAAAAATACCACTTATAATTGATCTATAGTCTTCCGTTATTCGAAGACAGAAATTAATGTAGATATTTAATAATTCCCCTCACTGGGTCTAACTAACGCCTTTATCCACTGTGCCAAGGACACATAGCGCAGTGGATAAAGGCGTTAGTTAGATCCAGTGACAGAACCCAAAAGAGTGTGAGTTCAATACCCGGTTGAGGCAGTGGAGAACTTGGAGAGGGGAATTAATAGGAGATAACTGATAACTGACATCCATTAAAACATGGCACGTGGGACTAGAACAGTCTACCCCTGCGAATGAAATAAAGGGTTTAGTTCGACATTCCAACCACTTGAAGAAGGCCGGAGCGTATAAAGACCGAAACGTGAAAAATATGGCGACAAAGATGAAGACAATAGTCCAAATAATGTAAATAGTGTACATAATACCTCATCTCAGAAATATAGACAGATACTGAAGGGCCGAAACGTTATAATAAATATGGCGACAAAGATGATGACAATAGTCCGAATAATGTAAATAGTGTACATAATACCTCATCTCAGAAATATAGACAGATACTGAAGGGCCGAAACGTTGTAATAAATATGGCGACAAAGATGATGACAATAGTCCGAATAATGTAAATAGTGTACATAATACCTCATCTCAGAAATATAGACAGATACTGAAGGGCCGAAACGTTGGAATAAATATGGCGACAAAAATGAGGACAATATGCCGAATAATGTAAATAGTGGACATAATACCTCATCTCAGAAATATAGACAGATATTGAAGAATTTAATGTTAAGATTTACTACAGATTTTGCTTTCATATCTATTTCCGTTTTATTGTGGGATACATATTTCAATAAAGATCTTTTAGGTGTCTTCATTTGTTTTTTATTGTCACCTTTTCCTCCTCATCTTCCATCTTATTGCACATGGCCTATTGATTCCCTTTCTGCTTTTTCTATTTCGAAATACTTTTTACGGTGAGACGTTTATTCTTACTGCCAATACTTCTGATTTAAAACCTTCTATTTCCCAATGATCGAAACATCTTCATGATATTCGTAACTGCTAGCAACGTAATCAACTTGACCCATCAGACTGTACCAACCGACACCCACCCGTAATGACGGAGGTTTATATATTTTTCTAAATGTTTAAATGATAATATAATCAACAAACATTTCAGATTTAAACAAACCGTGCAATGGAAGTATCTTTTCCATTAACTTTTAAGTGTCGGTTGGTTATTTGATTGGTTGGTTGGTTTTTAGATGTCAACTCCTGTCATTACCTGAATGGGAGACCGTTTGCTGTAAGCTTGGATGTGTGCATGGTGTAAAGGAATTGTTAATCGGAGATCCGAGTTCCAATTCCAGTTGGGTTTGCTATATTCACTTACGCACAAATTCCCGCCGCGATAGGTGAAATTAGTCAGACCTGTATTACTAAACAATTATTATCCCCTCAAAAAACAAAATTCTTAAAATCGTAATATTCTCAGGCTTTAAATAACCCGCAAAGGGTTGATAAACCGTAAAAACAAATCAATCAATCAATACATAGAACCATTCTGTTGCTTTAAGTCTCTTCTTCACCCTTAAGGAGATTGTCCAGCATTCATTGCCATAAAGGACGACAACTATCACGTAATAATGCAGTACTCTTTTCTTTGTCTCTCACGATTTTTTTCTGTTTCTAAGTCAAAAGTGTTTCTGTCTATCTTGTGGTATGCAACCTATGCTTATAAAATCCCAGAGACGTAAGTAATGCGAGCTGAAGATGGTAGGGAACAATTTGACGCCTGCCTTTTTTTGGGGGGTAACTGATGAAAGTTGACAAGAGTAAATCTGTAAACATTCCTTTCACCCGTTTTTCTCGACGATTCAAATTAACACCGACAATTAAAGTGATATAGAAGTTATGGCACAACCAGTCGGCAGCCATTATTCGAAACCTTTTCTTGTCTACTAGCAACGATACCCAAGCGTTGGGCTAAACGCGCTCACTGCTTTGTTGTGCAGTTGTTACTCTCTTTGAGAAACCCAGACCTGCCATAAAATGGTGTGAATGTAAGAAATTCTATAATAAACGGAGTTTAATTTAGGCATTTTAGTATCCGTATATTTAATATTTGTCATGTTGTATTGCAATACTTCAATTTATATTAGACTGGGAAAATAAGGCAGGTCGATTTTGGAACCGTGATATTCTACTCAATTTTAAAGTTGGGGTTTCATATGATAAACAATGATACAAAATATTTTTTTTCCAAATTGTTACCGTTTTGGAGGAAACAAGTTTAAAGATTAAATTTAGGTTCCAAATTGTAGTGTCAGAATTTCATTCCGGTAATTAGTGAAAGTCTTATAGAAACAGCCTTATAAAATTTATAATTTACTGAAGCTTTACAAACTGTATATGGACAAGATGAAAGATGCACACGCATATTATTACTAAGTCATTGTGCCATCAAATAAGACCTTCATTTACTTCAAAGGGAAATTCTACTGAACAATTTAGCCATCATTATGATGTAATATCTTATACAGCAGTAGTTTTAGTGTGATTTTCAATCAACAATGCAAATTTAAAACATTTTGTCTTATAATTTGTACCCAGCAGTGTTATGGTGTTATATACACTTTTATCTAATTTTTTTTGTTTTTATTAATTATGATCTATCAAATGATCTAACAAATCTTATTCATTGAGTAGACTTTTTTGCTATCTTTTACAACTTTTTTTTTTTTTTAGAGTTTTTACTTATCGAGTTGGTTGGTTGTTTTGTTTTCTGGCATATCAAAACCTCAGTGAGTCATTTAATGCCAACAAAATTTTTAAATAGATCCATAGCGATAGTTTGGTAAAAAAAAAAAAGAAGGTGTGCATGTATACATATATATTTGAATCATTTTTCAATTACTCATATTTTTTGAGTACAATCCAACTTCTTTTAGGAAATTTACAATCTTGGATGGTTTTATTTTCGTAAAAAGTTTTTTTTTTTAATAAATTACTCACT